CGGGATCTTTTGGTTTGCTGCAGAAATGAGCGCGGGCTTGCTCCCGGTACGGTACTCTTTCTTTAATGAGGGAAATACTTGAGATGCATAAAAAGCTTAACAGCTTTTAGTTTGCATTAATTATTAACCCCTTTCGGCTGATGAATTAATTAATGTACTAATAAAATATGACTCTTTTGCCTTCCCGCAATATCCTGCCTATCGTTCCCTCCGCCGCTGAATGCGTCAACCCTGTTTATTACATCGCTATTGAATCCGCGCCTTCTTATTTCGTTTGTAAGTTGATCGTCCTTGTATCCTCGTCTGCTTCGTGTGCAACAATTGTAAACATAAATGGCATTTTCGAAGAGGCGTTTAAAAATTACAAACTTCGGGATATTGTCACTGTAAATGTTACAGTCGCAGTGTTGTACCCGTAAAGAGTCGGAGTGGCGCTTTCTACTTTAATTCGACTTGTCTTCTCTCCCCGTCCGAATGAGTAGCCGTAATTTTGTAAATCTGCCATACCTATAATTCCTAACTACGGAATTATTATTTCCGTCGTCACGGTGAGGGGAACGACGGTTCCAGTAAACATTTAATATCTCAGAGGTACGACAGGTTGTAATCCGGGTTTTTTAAATCTACCCTCTCGCGTGTCGCGACCCGACACTCTGAAAATACGAGTAACCGCGTTTACGCCGAGTCTCGCTTTATAAATCAAATGATGATAACGGCATCACTGAAATCGTAGCAACAAAAATTAGATAAATGTAAAGTTCCTGCCGGAGTACTCGATGAAGCTTTGGCTGCAACATGGCGCTACGTAAATCACTTCTTTCCCCAGTGAGGACAGATTCTGTGGAATGAGGGTAATGTTCTTGCACTTACCAACCCTCGCAAATGGATGGTGGAAATTTTCGAAGGGTTAACCTCCACCAGATTTTACCGGAGTTTCGTTGGGGGCACCTGGTCAGCTTCAGCGAGGACAACCCCAAAGAACGGTTCCATCCTGGATCGTTCTTGTTCCGATGACTTCAAGCTTTCCCAGAAATTCATCAAAAGTTCGAACCTCTGAACCCGATCGTCCTCGGTAATGCCGTGAAATTTAAAAAGTGATTAAACGACCTTAATAAATAAATTCGTGAAAAGGGACGAGTAACACGAGGCTCCGAGCTCGGCTTAGTTTCCTCCTGGGCAAACAAGATCTTCGGGAATAATAATATTCCCGCACGCGGCATCAAGCGTGGAATATTGATATTTGTAATTTTACGACAGACTCCTAGGAACTTACATAATTTCCTGCCCAAGTCGGGAGGGGCGACGCTGCGTTGCTCATCCATGCGAAAGTCCACGTTTGGAATTCGCCCATATCGTCCTTAATAGGAAGTACGGCTCGCCAAGTGGGTCAGCCTAGAAGACAATTCCTCGGAAAAGAAGGAAGTACTTGTTTCTGTAAAGGAATGAAGTTTCAACGCGAACCTAACAGATTTATTATTCTCACAGAATCCAGCGGCAAAGTTGAACTCCTGAATTTTCCAGGACACTCCTCCTCCGTGCCGTTCTTCGCGATCGCGTGACACTGCGTAGATCAAGAAACGCAGATCGCTTCTTCCGGTTCCTGCGATTAAAAGACACATTTACCTCCCACAAATAATCGCTTTTGCATAGAATATATATATATATATATATGGAAGATATTTCTAAAAGTATCGGAAAACCGATCGCCGAGGTAGCAGTGGTAGGTAATGGGGCTGTCGAGTGACCAGCAATAGGAAACAGGAAGTAGCGAGCAGTTGCCCGTGGCGGCCTTTTCCTCGGCTCGAACCAGGGCTTGCAATGCTACGGATATTCGGGGTGAGATCTTTCGTTCGGCCTTGGGAGTCGAGCTTTAATAAACTTCGCGAAGCTTTCTCGAGCAGGCAAGTACCTACACCCGTCAGCAGCAGACTCGGGAGTTTAACAGTCCGTAAGTCCCTGTAAAGCGGGCTGAAGGGTAGGTTTCTCTCCCCGCACTGGGACTAAATTAATCCCGACGCGTCTCGCTTAATCGCGAGACACTAGACCGGAGCCAGGGAAAAGCCGAACTTTTTCCGGAAGCGGAACGAACGAGCCGAGGAGGGCAGTTTACGCGGTGTAAACGGTGGCCGTAAACACCGCCGACCGGGTCGAGAGGCCGGTCTTCCGAATTCAGGGCTCCCAGGGGAGAAAACTGCGAACGAGACCATCCACCAGGCGACGATTCACCCCGGGATATGTCGGGATCGGTACTTGGGTTCTCGCCCCTCCTTCCAGGGCGAATCTCGAAAGAGTGCACCAAATCGGATAATACCAAAGTGGACTCTTAGGCGACGTGCCTAGGTTCTCCCTGCTTTCCGAGGGTGGAACCGCAAGGGTGGCATTGTAAAAGTGACCTCGACAGGGACTTCGGAATCGACCGCGGCGGACTCTTTCATTCTGCTCCACTTTTCAAATTTTCCTTCCCGAGAAGTTCAGGAATAGGGAAAATCCCAGATATCAGGGAGAAGGGAGATCCGATCCCAGCACGGCGCAGCGTTTACGCGGGAATCGCAAGAGGGATTGGAAAAAGAGGAGGAACCGCAAAAGGAACCACTCAAGGCACCGGGATCAATAACTGGAGAACCGATATCGAAACGGGCCGTGTTGTTTCCGTTTGGTCAGTCGCATCAAACTGAAAACAGTGCGCGACGTATTTACGCGGACGGGTGAATCCGAGTTGTCCTAACTTCTAAAGTAGTATTCCCGTGTCTTTTTTCTCGCGCCTTTCCCGTTTCTCCCGGCAATCCCCAAAGGACGGGGTCTAATCCGCAAATCGGGGGCCGGATCTGAACGTGCACTTGGCCTTTCGAATTAATGGAAATCCTACGGGGGGAAACCACCATGGAAGCCCTCGTAGCAACGATTATCTGCTGCAAAGCCAGGACCGGTATTTAACGCTTTGCCTTTCCTGTTTTTCTTCCATTTCGAAGCGAAGCGGGCCCGAAAAAAGCGCACTAATGAATTCGGAAGCAGCGGGCAAATAGTCCCTGATTGTTCGGTTCGTCTCTGCGGAAAAAGCTCACCGCCCTGGGCACACGGAGATAAATATTGAGGGATATTAACTGTAATTCTGTTTGCTCTGGTTACACTTCCTGGGTACAGCGGGCACTTCCATGCGCTACTGGCACTGTACTAGCGTTTGTACGAGCCTGGAATCATTCGAGAACGAACCTCGGTTTTCGGTGCAAATGAAGTATTTTATATCCCCGTCCTGCCATTCCAATTTCCGGTATAAAATCTCTAGATCAAATTATGCAGCCAGCCAGGTATTATAAAATTATATACATGGAGCCCATAACTCCGAACGTAGAGCAAAGATGCCTCGGTTATATATAATCGCGTAGCACGTTACTCGTCTAAAAAGTATCTTTAGCAATAAATTCATAAGGGGCGCTATGTTCCAGGTATTTGGCGTCACTTCAAAATGGCCGACGAGTCGCGGTTAGCGGCAACCCTAAACTATGGGGTAAAAATTTCGAGTGAAATTTCTGGGTATCTGCCCAGGAGGCTTCCCTGCAAACCTAAACTATTTCTCCCTCAAGGGATGAACGGTTGCTTGGCAAGTACTAAGCAAAGCCGGAAGTGGGTCATTCGCGTGACGTCGTCGGCCCGTGAAAGGGCGTGGAAGGAAATCGGGGGTGGTGGGTCGGGGTCTTTCGCCCCCGGCGGGCAAGACGCCACGCGTCGGTCGCGTACGCGTGGTGGCGTTTGTGCGGATAAAGTGGGAAATCGAAGAAAATGGACTGGCAGTTCGCATGGAAACGCGAGAAAGCTATCGACCACGTCTCCTGGGTGGGTGCACCTTGCCAAAGGTCCACCCGGGGTTCAAGGGAGGCAAAAATCGACGGGAGATCCGCCCGGGTGACGGCGGGGGTGGCTGGAATAAAATTGACGTGAAAAAGAAGGAACAGAGTTGTTAATTTCCTCTCTATCTCCTCCCGGTTCCCCTTCGATCCCTCTCGATTACTTACACCACCGTCGCCGGCGCACCGACGCCGTGTCGGTTCCACCCCCGCCGGCTGTGCGGGTAAAAGCTCCGCGAATCCGCGCCGTCGGGTGCTTAATTCAAGACGCGGAAGCGGGGAAGAACTAACTTAGCCCTTTACGTAGTAGCTCTCAAAGTCCGAGTCGTACCTGCGCCGGGCACCCGAGTTTTTCAGAGTTTAATGTCCCCGGTGGTTCTTTTACGGCCCGGGTAGTCGATGAAAAGGGCCGCGCGTTTCTAAATCGAATAAAATATCGACGTCGAATTGATTACGTTTCCTCTACCGCCCCGCGCCTTTGGAATCGTCGCCCCTCATAAAGGTATACACGTGCCGGCGAATTGGAGGCTCGAGCTTAAAGCTCGGTTGCGTTTTCGAGGATTGTTTTTTCCGACGGGGTCGATGGGCGGCGGGCGAAAATCTCGAGTCGAAAGGGTGGCGGATGTCGGGATCGCGGGCAAAGAAAACGCGCGCAGTCGCATGGCCGCGCACCCAGATCTTTGAACAAGTGGGCACGATTACATGGGCGGTATTCTTGGGTTTACACCTACGTGGCCATACTCGCGCCTACCTTATACCTTACCCGCCGTCCCAACGACCCTGCCACCTTACGGGCCGGCTCAAACCGAGCGAGAATACCTCCGAGGAGGCAGCGCAAGCGGACTGAAAATAAGGGGTCGAAGGGGTGGCGCACACGTGTCGGGCGCGGGCGAGACGGCACCGCCACGTGGAGCGCCCGCCCGCCCGCCCGGGCGGATGCCGAGGCCGGTCACGGGTGGAGCTACAAGTGGTGATAAACGAGGCCGAATTGTCGATATTAGCCGCACCACGGGCTGCACGCTGGGGCGCCCACCCGGCCGCGATATATCGCTCCGATTCTCCGGGCCCACTGAATTCCCATCCGAAGATTCCAACGGTGTCCGGCTTGTGAAAAGATGCCCGAGAACTCGGCGCCGTGCCACGAGGGATGAAGGGGCACGGTCGGATGCCGGAAACGTGACGGCAACCGTTTCTTCGGACCCCGACTTCTCCGAACTTTTTCCTTGCGCTGGTCAGGGCTCCTGGATTGTATTCCTGAGGTTATTGCGTTAGCTACGCTCCTGGACGTCGGTCCGACCGCTTCGGGTAAGCAATTGGTAATTGAGTTTTTGTGCCCAGGAGTTAGAGATATAGAATTTACTCGCGACTGCTTCCTCGAAACAGCGTCTAGAATGAGTGTTACGGGGTTTACGTTAATCAAATGTTTTTTTATCATTTTCGATATGGATCATTGGTAGAGGTATACAGAATAGTAATTACCCAGTCTCTTTAGGGGATGTACCTGGAGAAGCTCTTTCAATGACCGCCCTTGTTCTGTAATTCCCTTTTCCATCCTCATTAACATGTGAATCGCATACGTGACACGTACCTAGGCATACATGAACATCCAGCGATTCAACCGCAGAATTTACGTAAGAACTTACTAATGGTCTGCACCCCCGTTCCCTGACTAAAACGTGTAAATCTATTTTTTAATTACAACTCTAACGAGGCCGAAATAAAAAATCCAGGGTCTACGTACCTTTTAGTTCCCATTACATGTATAACTTCCTTTCGTCTTTTAGATCCTCTGGACCTTAAATCTCTTTACTCGACACGTGGTAACGTGAGACAATGTAGCCATTGAGCCCTTCTCGTTCACCGATCCAATCTCAAGCTGGAAGTAGAAGAAAAGGGTTAACCGATTTTCGCACCTAACTTGAGCACGCGAACAGGGCGCGAGTGCGTCGGATTCGATTTTCCGTTTTGTTAGGAGCATCGCACCGCCCGGTGGGCGGGAAAAAGGTTGGGAAATTTGGCCGCCGTCGTGTAAAAAAAGGGGGGCGGAAGAGAGCGTCGCGACGGGGCGCCTTTTCTTCCGGCGCGAAAGCTCCTGATTTCTTCCCGCCCCTGTAAGAACGGGTCTTTGACGAAGACAGGTCAGCGAGGGGGTGGCGGGGGCCCTGGCTCCGACTGACCACTTTACTTCCAAGGAAGTGGCCACCGCTGCTTGTATAGAATAACGCTGTACCGACCGGAAGAAAGGAGGGCGAGAATCGTGAAAACAAGCTTACAGGTTTCGGCTCGACCGCTTGGCTGGCGCCTCTCCAAAGCTCTTGCTCAGCAAAGTACCGACCCCAGGGTGGGGCGGAGTGCCCCCGCTCAATTTTGGAAGATGCGTTCTCCCAATCCCGTTCGTCCTCCCCTTCGCCACCCTCCGTGACGCCTAGGTGGCTCGATCGCCGATCGCAAACGTGTCCGAGTTTTCTCGTCACCAGTCGTCCCTCTCTTACGCACGGTTCGCTTTCCTCCTCGCCTTTGAAGTAGGCAAGTCGGGATCGAGGGGACTTCGACGAATGTCGAGTTTTCCTGGAGGCAAGATGACGGAAAATGTGCTGGACATGTTTATACATAACGATATGAAAGAGAGACAATTACGAGGATTTACGCGCACCTTTATCAAAGGGGCAGGCGATAACCCCCGATACCACAGAGGTACGGAATCCCGAAATCAATAATCTCGGACTCCACTATCATGTTTTGCCAGACGATTAGCTGCCGCATATAGTATCGATTACAGCGTGCATTACCATAGTCCTCTACTTGATTATGAAATCGTTGTCCCCGGGATGAGAAAACAAGCATCCCCTTGACAAGAAGCAGGGATGATCTACGTCGGATATTATTCTGTCCACCTTTTTAGTAATCCCTGTAATTCCATCGCCTCTAATAAACATATCTGACATTTTTCCCGCTAAGGTTTCAAATCTTTCAGTAACTACAGTTACGACACATATCTTAATTAGGAATTAAAAACAGCCTGGCCGAGATGAAGGGTCCTATCCCTACGTCTGATAGATTTTCTTCGCCATTTTTCTTATGTATCATCGTCTGGGTCTTTATTAAAGAACGTTTTTCCGTCACTCCGAGGAGCAACTTGACTCGTAAATAAACACGTGAGATAGTTCACGAGAGCCAGTGAAAGCCGAAAAGGCCGAGTTTTCTCTGGCGGGGTGGCGGGCAGGCGGGTGGACGACCATGGCCGTGGTCGGGTGGGAATTATTCACGAGTCCTACTTAACGTCGAAGTGACCAGCCCGCAATCTTAACCCCGCCGGAAAACCAGCGTTTACCCGTCCCTTTTCCGATCGAACTACCCACGTCTGAAATTTCCCGGCAGTTTCCACCCTGTCACGTAGCCCCTAATGTAGGTCACCGGAATTGAATTTAGAACCGAGCCAGGATGGTACATAGGTGTATGTATACCTACGCGTACATACGCCTATGTGCGATTACAGGGAGACTCTCGGCAGCAGTTCAGATTATAACGCGGTGCCCAGTCTTCGAGCGAGCCTGCCTCGATCTCCCTTCCTTCCCCTCGGCTAACCTTTTACTTTCGCGAAATCCGCTATTTTTACATCGCGAGTTCCGCGATTGTTTCTCCTCGAGCTTTTTGCCCCAGCTCCGGAACCGCGGTCGTTATTTCATTATCCTCTTCTCTCTTTTGCCTCCTCCATCTCCTGCAGCCATGCGATCAGGATACGGATGGTCAATTAAACGACCTTCTATATCCCACGAAGGCTAATTAGCGCCGCTCAGAGATCCCTCCTGAAACCAATGTAATACTCAGTGGCTGGACATCATCCCCGAGTTTAATGGTACATACAAATAGCGAAGGAAAATAAAAGTAGTTTCATAGTTCAGCGTCCCTGATCCCTTAGATCCCCTCCGAGGGGCTCCGTTAGAGACGAAATCACGGTCCACTAACGGGAAAGGGAAGCTGTCGCCGAGAATAAGGAACAAATAGACCGGTGAAAGCGGGGCGATGTATCGCAGTGGGCAGAGAGTCCGGGCCCGCCCGGGCGGAGCGGCGTGGATTTAGCGTTTACGTCGGGCGAGCTAAACGACCGGCTCCTCGGCAGTCCTCTCCCTCGCAGCTCGCGCGCTAAACGTACTCGAGGGTTGTCTCGTCTTTTTTCCTTTAACCCGCGGCCAGGCGCTTCCCTGTATCCGTCTCTCTCCCTCCGACGGTGCGGGGCTCGCGCCGGCTCGCTCCCTCTCGATCCTCCACTCGTCAGACGCAGGCGCTCTCCGTCTCCCACCCGGGCGGCCGTATCGGTCTCTCTCTCTTCCTCGCTCTTGCCCGGTGCTCCGGGGCTCTCGAACGCGGGCACGCGACGCTTGGCCCCGGTGTAAACAGGCGGGATATCGCCTCGGGAGTGCGAATATAAGTGGCGGCGCTTATCCCCAGATTTGTCACTATCGTCGGGCCGACGCGCCGCGTCGCCTCCGACGCCGAGCCGACCTCCGAATGCAGGTGCGCCGCGAGCCCGGGCAAGGAAGTAATAGAGGAGTGATGGAGTCGAGAAAGAGAGAGCGGGGCATTTTTATGGGTAAATCGATGTTGCACACCGCCCGAGAGAGACGTCGGGGAGAAGCTAGAGGCCGAGGGGACGCAAAGGGCGCTAGAGAAATCGAGGTGGGGATGGAGCCGGGATTCGCGACCTTGAACAGGAGGCGAGCCTAGACCTTGCCTCTCGCTTCTCCCAGAGGCCGCCCCCGCCCCGCTCACCGACCGAGCCACGGTCTGGTCCGTCCTGAGCGTCTCTACTGGAGACTAGAGATAGAGGAAACTGGTACCGGTCCGCTCGGCCGGCGTCCTAACGGGCTCGGCCGCGCCTACCTCGCGGAGCGGAGCCGCTTCGCGCATTCTTTTACGCCACTTCCGCAGGCGGAATCTTGCCCAAGTCGCATCCTACATACCGAGGCGAAACGGCCTGCCAGCGCCTCCTGCAAGGACGGGTTAACTCCTGGACAGCGCTGGGAACGGGTCCTTCGAGATCGCCCGAGTACCTGATCGATCGATGATTTATAATATTCAGGGTGCATGTAGGTTGTTAGGGGAGCGAAATGTTACCGGGCTCGAGGTGGTGATGTGGTTGGAAATATTTAATCCTGGAGGTTGCTTTCCGGGTATGGACGTCTTGGAAGAGATCCTTGCCTTGACGGCGGGTCTTTTCGGCAGGTTAACTCGTTCCTTCGCCCGTCTTCCTGGGAATGAGTCCTGTTACAGTAAACGCAATTTTGGAAGTTTTAGAACGTTCCCGTTTCTTCGGGAACTCTTGTGCCGGCAGCCACACCTACCTTGCACAGCCAGTACCTCGTCGTGCAGCTTCATGCTTGAGTACGCTCTTTTATGCTTCTTCCGGATCTAGAATATTACTTAGGACAGGCGCTATGTGTCGATTTAAACGAGACAACCTGCACGAGGCTGTCTCTAAGGACACTTTGGATCGGATAAGTGAATGTCTCGGTGCTTCCTGGATACGGATTCTTAGGAAAAGCCATCGCGATTGCTGATACCGTTCATTAAATTGGAGTTCCTTATTTTATTCCATGGGTTTCATTAATTAGATAATAGTCTCATACCATTAGGAAGGGTGCAAAAACGTAATTCCAGTCACCGAAATACGTCTTTGGCCACATAGTCTAGAGCCGAACGGAAGGCGTCCTGGGACTATGTTATTTTTCTTGGGAGTTTGTTAATATACATTCAGGGCATGGTGGAGATTAAAATCCTTTGATCTGTAATTCAACTTCCTATGATAATACGGTCCTGGTGTCTGCTCAGTTTTTGCCGATCTCCTGCAACGTGATAAGATTGTGTTGTTAAAAGATAATTCCAAAGTGGTCCAAAATAGCTCCCTTCGAGACATCTATTATCTTGGACCCTTAGAGAGGTCCAGTGCTCTCCCACGGCACATAATTAGCTCAAAGGAGCTTTCCGTTGTAGCCAGCCACTCTTTCTCTTGAGCTTCGGGAAACAAAGTGGTGCAAAGGGTTCGGTCTAACCAACATCGTGGATGGGACGTCGATGTTGCGAAGGATTTCTCCAGAATCGATAATGCTATAACCTCGGGCGACGTTGGTGCGAGATGCCTGAATACCGAAGGCATCTTCCGAGGAGCCACTGATTAGGACCGGTGCTACCGGTGGCCTTTCTTCTTGCTCTTTTTGTCTGGCAAATTGCAGCCGGCCTAAGACTTCGAAGAGCACGATTTTACGTATCTGTAAAAAGGGAGAGAGAAGCAGAAAAAATAGGATAAAACGGTGGCCGAGAAACGTATGATATGGAGATTTATAGAGAGACGAAGAGGGAGGATTTCACGAACAGGTTGTCATCGCTCATTTTGTTCTAGCATAAATAACCAGAGAACGAAGGACCTCTTATTATAGAATCTTTTTTTATTTAATAACCAATCCAGCGAGTTTACGTTTCGCCCAGTGGAGTGCTTTAAGCAGGAGAATTTAATACTCGCTGTTGGACGAAGGAAATTAAATACAAAAAGCGAAGAGTCAGCAAGTGGTGTTTGCATTAAGAGCGATGATTATGCACAACTCTTTTTTTTTGTTTACATGGAAAGGAATCATGAAACGGGACTAACTGCATCGTAATTCAGACTGTCATAATTATGTAACCGTGATTCCGTTAGATCGGACCTCTGCAGATAACGCAAGGTCAAGGTAACGGAGAACGTACTCTGGATAATACGAGACTATTTAAAGGAATGTTCAATTACGACACGTGGATTTTGTTATCTTATTCCGTTGCTTGTAAAGCTCCATGTGACGTAAATTTCGTCGAGGCTTGGTCGTGTGAATTTTCATTTTCATATTTCCTCCTGGAAAGAAGAAGAGTCGCTCGACGAATAATACGGATGCCCTCGATCCTCCAAATTATTTATTAATCTTGTTAACGTTCCCATTGAACAGGTTTTCCAATGAGGTTGAATATTCCTTATTTCGATAACAGAAGGAAATAATTACCCTCGCGGACTTATGTATTCCAGATTAAGCGGACAGCAATCGTCAGGAAATATATATACAGATTCAGAATTAAAGCACGGTTATGTCCGTTCACTTGAATTTCACAATGTTGGCACATTGTTGGTCCGTACCAGTTTCAGCTAAACCGCAGATTGAAACATCTAGATGGGAAACTATTTTGCCCACGTCCAGGTGAATGGAAATGGGACTGCTTTAATGGGACTCACCGACCGCAGGGATCAGTCATATTCTTCGGCAGTAAAATGATAATTCTATCCCCAACCAATCGCGAGCTGGAATTAAAATTTCAGATTTGGAAAACGGCGACTTACGACTACATTCATCGTTAACATTGATAATACGGTCAAAGAAGTGTAGAAGTAGATAATGTGCAGGGGCGTAAATTAACGGTTAATTAGGTACACCCAAAGGGCGGGATGGGTAATGGTCGAAAAACCGAATCTTCCGTCAGTTCCCTCCTTTGTTCGAAGCAATGGGATCGACTTCTTAGGATGTTTAACATCCAGGATTCCCTAGGGAGCCGAAAGGAGCAGTGCCCTCGGTCTCGAGGGCGAGATACCGCTCGGTGCTGGGATTGACGTCGGAGAGGAAATGGCGAAACACGAACAAGAGTAATCCCCGGTCTCGGTTTTTCGTAAGACCCGAACCCGAGGACGGTGCACTCGCGAAAGGTTCCTTAGAATGGAGTAATAACCGTTCCCGAACGAAATGACAGCTTTCAAATCAGAGTGCCGTTTACCCTCTCCGCGGTCCGCCGCGCAATACGCGCACGTCCAAATCGGCGCTTTTACGAGGGCACATATTCCCCGGGAATATTTTTGATAAATTTCCCCCCCATCCCGGCGTCGCCCCGCCCGTCTAGTTCGGGCGACGTCGTAACCTTTATTACGGAGGTCGGCCGTCCTCGCGCGAAAGTAAACCTCCTTCGTTTAGTAAATCGAATGTTCCGCCATTTGTAGCCCGTTTAGGAGGAATACTCGGACAGGGGAATATATTCCATAGTGTTTCCCAAACAACGACCGAAAAGTCGCGGAGGGCCGTAAATATCGATAGGGGGTCGTATAAACGATTATGAACGTTACAGAATATCACCTCGATAGCGGCGTCGGCTGCTGTGAATTAATATCGAAACGATAACTCTTCGAATAGTCGAAATACTCGATGGCGTACGGTGCTTTTGTAACAATGGCCCGGTGTATCGAATGCGTATACATGCCTGGTATATGGTCGTATTCATATCCTATATATATATGTCGTCGCGCCGAAGAAAAATAAAGCAGCAGACAGCACGTGTCCATGAAGCGCGGCTCGTTTTATTTTGTGGGAATAATTTCGATTTCATTTACGTATTTACTATTTTGAAACGGCCGTGCCTGCACTCAATTGTATTGCATTTAATCGTATTTTCAGACGCATTTATGACGAGGCGAGGCCTATTTAGACTCGTGTTTAGAAGTACCACATGGGTCAAGGTTGGGGCAATAATTAATATTTTCGGCTTAACGTGTCGCATATTGTGTGTGATATGGTCAAAATATATCGCATGATTTTCTGGCGGTAAGGTGATATCTTTTATTGGGGGATATTATTTTCTTCGTGGTACGAGTATGAAAAGATGCGCGTAGTATGTGTAGATGCCGAGAGAACGAGAAACAAACGGCAGAGAATCGCGCCTCTAGGCGCTCGACCAATCAGCGGTCGCCGTTAGTTTTTTGAACCGGCTTGTCCAGATGGCGTTGCGGCCACAGAGACGTCTCGGATCACGCTGGAACGTGTTTGTAGCGCGTTGTTCGATATTTTTGCGAGTAGTTTTATAGAGTTCGTTGTTGTTAAATTAAGAGGAAAAATGTCCGTTCAACGATTCGAGAGGCAAGGGCCACCGTCGTTTTATTTCCCGAATACGAAGCTGAAAAACATCTCCTGTGTTCATTGTAAACGTCAGTTCTTTCTCAAAGGTAATTCCATTGTTTCGAGTGTATGCACGTTTTGGCCGGCATATTTGTTCGACTGGATTTTAGGATTTTACGTTTTAATCGCGGTTTAAGAATGCTTTGCAAGACTCTCTTTCTTCATGCGAAGAGGTTACGATTCCTCTGGTCTCGATTGAAGTACGGAAAATTATGAATAATGCCAATAGGGTTAGGACGTATTCTTTTGGTGAATGAAAACATTCAAGGTGATAATCATAATAGATGCGTCGGTCAGCTTTGGCTTGTTTCACAAAGGATTAGATACGCTTGTAAATTTGAGACAGAGGTTAGAATCACTCGATGCTTCTTTCTTTATTGATTCCGATAGACTTATACGATTGTGATTGCAGAACTATGATAGATGTAAGGAAAGGATGTAATTGTAGAAAAGGTATTTTCATTACTATGATTTATTTGTTATAGATATTACTAATGTGCGTGGAAATCAAGTGCCGTTGTTACTACCTTGTGGACATGCAGCGTGCGAAGGCTGTGCACGGTTAAATCCTGGTAGATCCTGTGCATTGTGTAAGACTGAATTGACACCGGATTTTGACCTAAAAATCAAATTACCGGTAAACATATACCTACTTGGATTAATCAATGTCAGTCAAACACGGCCAGCACATGCAGACGATCCAGATATAGCATTCTGTCTGCCTGGTGGCTCTAAGCTTCGACCGTTCAATGAGCAAGGTAAAACCAATTTTTAATTCAGTCGTGATCTGATTAAATGTATTCGTATAGTAATTATTGCTTTTCGTTCAAGGATATTGTTCCGAGTGTGGAATAGCCGCAACCATGCGATGTCAGCAGTGCAATGTACTATTCTGTAACGCATGTTATTCTAAGGTATGTAGCATAATTTAGTGACGTTACTGTTTTAAATTAGTTTCAATATTTTGTGGAGCAAATTGTTTGCATTGCAGATTCATGGCAGGGCATTACAAAATCATCGAAAGATATTTTTATCAGAGGTAGCAAATAGTATGTCGACTACTTTGATAAGCTATTGCGCTGCACATAACAAAGAAGCGTTGGAATATCTTTGTGAAGAATGTGACATTGCCGGTTGTTCTCATTGTATGTTGCAAAGTCATCAGGGACATAAAATGGTTCAGCAGAAAGTTAAGGTTGGTTCGTTATAAAACAGAATTGTCATATGTTATTATCAGTTATTGTTAATGTAATATTTCCATTCTATTTTTTCTAGAACGATGAATTGCTGTCAGAGTTCTTCATGGTGTACGACAGGGTAGCCGAGAATCTGCAGCGAGTTCATCAGACCCAAAAGGTAAGGAACGTTATTAATTATAAAATGTATAGATACATTGAAGCTGGGTATTAAATAATAGTAGAATGGGGGTAAGAGCTTTTTTTGTACAAAAATGAATAAATATTTTTATTGAACAATTTTATAACAATCTAAAACGTGGTACATCGAAAAGATCATCGTTAATATACAGGAATACTCTCGTGTCTGAACCATGAATAATTTAATATTTAGAATACAGTCGGAAGGGACTGATGTCCATCAAGACAGTTATGTTATGAATCGTTCACTGCGTTAACAATACAAACAATTATTATCGTCTACGATTACCCTTCACCATAAGTACTATATCTGTGAAAGAGAATTTGACCGTTAATCCAGCTTCATAGTAAACTGTCAAGGTACCGAATAGCGCCAAAGTGGATAGGCTGGAAACAGTCTCACATAAATATCTATTCAATACAAATATGACTAGAGGGGAGAGAAGAATACTTATGAATATCATCAGCCGTTTCATACCCGCACAAGTTGTACAAATGCAAACGGTCAACAAATCCTCTGATTGCACATAAATTGTTTTAACTCATTAAATAGTCTTGAAGGCAAGTTAGGGAAAGATCCTTATCATCAGCTTGTAACGACAACGAGACTTACCAAAAATTGGATATCCCTAAAAAAATTCTAACATTGCCCTAAATTATTCCGTGTCGTTTACACTTTCTAACGTGTTTTCCTCTTCTTTACTTTTCTCTTCTTCCTGCTTCTTTAAATTTTTCTCTTTCAATTTCGCCTCCATTTCCTTGAACTTGAATTCCAAATATCGGTCTACTTCCGGTCCGGTGAAATCCTCGGGGAACTTGGGCATTATCGGAAGAATGTATTTGTACAGTCTCTCGTTCAACACGTAGAGTTGGGTGGTCGATTCGCACTTGACGTTGAACCACCAGTCGCACGTCAGGGCAGCTTGATTGAAAATTGTGCCGTTGGGGCACAAAAAGGAAGACTTCCCTCCATTAAGATCGCAATAGTGCCACACCTGAAAAAGAAGTAATTATTAATTGTTGTTGTTTTTTTTTTATTCGCTGACTTTGACAACGCTAATTAATATCGAAGCAAAATAATTCAGAGCAGGATAATATTTTGAGGCGGGTCGAAAGTCGGGCGGTAAGTGGGAGGATTTCTCTCGACTGGATCCGGGAGTACTCGCGTTCTCGAGGACGACTTACTTGACATCTCGTATCCGTGTCTCCGAAGAATCCCTTGTACCTCTGTTCCTTGCAACTGAATTTCGTCTCCGGGATCTTGGCGTATGCCGGATAATCGACATGTGGCTTCCCTCTCGTGGCCCCGTACTTGAGCGAAGTTGGCGGTATCCTCTGTACGTGAGAGGTGACCCCGTCGGGCTTCGGGTAATTGCGAGCCGGCATTTTCGTAGTCGGGGGTGAAGTAAACCGCTCGTCGTCGCGTATGTCATCGGCGAAATCCTCCGTGATTTCGTAGGTATGCTCGGTCGGGTCCTCGTTCTTATCGGGCTTCCTGACAGGTTCGAATATCTCCTCGTCGATGTCCTGGACCAGGGGTACGTAGTACTGCACGTTGTTGTCCTTCGGGGCACCCGAGCCGTAGTCGGTGGGCGGGGGAATGTTCAATTTGGTATTGCTCAAATTAATATCTCCCGGTTTATACGGTATCGGTTTAACGGGCTCCAGGATAGGGGTGGGCGTCGCTTGGTACCGCGTCTCAGTTATTACTTTCGGCCTGGTGACGTACTTCACCTTCGAGTTATCATAAGTTGGGGGTTTTGGGGGAACCCTTAGGTGCGTCGCCGCCGATGGTAGTCTGGGAAGTTCGGTCTTCTTGGCGCTGTTCAGGATATCGAGGATCTCGACTAGGGTCCTGATGCTGCTGTCTATGTTATCTTTGCTGAGCACTTCCGGCAACTGGTTGGTCAGCTGGAAGCTTTTCGTAATGTGGCTTAGCCGGTGGTTGAGATTAGGTGGCAGGACGTGGGGGGGCCTCGCTGGTGTCGGACGCCGGAATGGCTGCGGCACCCTGGTGGGCTCCACGAACCTGAAAGACTCGAAGTCGTCTATCGGATAGTTAAAGTCTCCCACGCTTATCGCGTGCTTCCCGTTGGGCCTGACCACGTACTCCGAGGCGTAGTCCTGATAGTTAACGCCCGTTTTAATCGGCTGTTTCCGCGGCAAGTACTCCCTTCCTGGCTGGGCTGGGCCGTTGTACGGCCTCGGGGGTCTGGCCGTCGTGAAATATTGACTTTCTGGGACGCTGCCAGCAGTCGTCACCTGGGCGTAAACTGGTCTTTGTCTATGGAAAGGCCGATACGGGGGAGCCGGATGACTTTCGTAGCCGTGCTTCGCCCCGTACTGGAGCGGCGTGAAGTACTCGTTGTCCGTACCCAGGTCCGTCGGGTTGTACTGCAGCGAGGGGATGAATTTCTCCTCCTGACTTTGGGAACCCGTCCTGTAGTTTGGACTCTTCTTGGAGTCGACGGGCCTCGAGAGGACGTATTGCGGCCTCCGCAAGGGCGCGTCTCCGGGTACCACCAGACTGAAACCTTGAGGCGACTGACCGTTCACGTAGTTGTTGGCGACGTAGAACGTCATGTATGGGATGAGTCTTCTGTATCTCTCCTTGAAATCCTCGAGGCCCATCCCGACCAAGGACGAGGCTTCCTTTTCATCCTCCGACGCCGCTTGGGTGGTGTTTCCTGTGGCCCTCGTCGATCCGTATAGCGTTGTCAGGGCTGCAACGGAGGCGCAACGAAACGTTAGACTGCGTGTTAAATATCGTTACTTTTGGAATTAAGCGCAGGGTGGAGAGTGAGAATATTCCGTTTTAATCCCTTAATGTTAATTTCCGTTCTTCGGGAAGAACGAGGACGCGAAAGGTGCGCTTTACCGCCCGGTGCACGTTTTATGCGAGCGTTCGGGGGCGAATCGTTTAATGTGAGACGGCCGGTTCATTAAACTTTCCCCCCCCCCCCCCCCGCGCAGAAGAAACCCAGGAAACCTGGAAACGTCGAGGAATTTCCCCCGGCCGAGAGGAGCTGGGAAATTTTTCAACAGATCTCGGAACTTTTCAGTACACCGGGGAATGTTTAATTCTTCATCGGTTCATTAGAAGGAAACGCGATGGAAGGTGTGAGCACCCGTTTCGGGTATTAGTTTCACGTTCTCTCTTCCCTCTAGGCCCCCTTTATGTTTTCCAGGTGTGACAGAAAGAACGCTCGTGGATGTGGAAAACTTTCCGAGCAAGCGACCTCGAAGGAAATCATAACGATCGCGAGCGGCGGTCGCGAAATGTACCCTCGAAAAATCTCGTCTCGCTCGGCGGTAATTTCTTCCTCGAGGGGGGCGACATTTCCGAAGGTGTCAAGGGGTTCCCTTTTCCGCCACCTGTCGTTTTTACGCGGCCCACCTCGAATTCCGGCTGCGTTATGGCCGGTTCTCAAATACAACTCCGATTAACCCCTCCACCCTCCCCGATGGATTCTCTCGCGCCCCCCTATGTTGGAATCGCGAGCGATCTCTCGGCGCTTTTGAATTAAAAGGGGAGTAAAGAAGAGTAGAAAAAAAAAGAAAAAAAATGCCCCCGCCGCGCCACTAATGAAATATTTCCGTAATAACCCTCTCAAAAAGCCACCGGACACCGTCACAGTTTTACGGTGACGCGTCCGCGCTCGCTCGGCCGCACCCGCTTCCGCTCGCCGGCCTCGCGGGGCCCCCGCGCGATGCGCACTTTTCCAAGAGAAAATTAAATTAAAGGAAAATATTCGGGAGTCGTCCACCCTTTGCGACGACGACGGCCCGGACGAGGGTGTGAGTGCGCTCGCAGGATATTCGCGCTGGCATGTTCGAGTGGTGCGACCACTAAAAACGCCCCACCCTCCCGCGCCTCCATTTTCCACTTTTCCCCGGTACCTCTTTCGCTCCCACCCCGGGCCACCCCCTTTCCGTCCGCGCCCCATCTGTCCGTCGGCTCGTCACATCGTCACCGCAAACGTGTGCCCGGACCCGGGATGAAGCCGGCCGCCTCGCTGCACTCGCTATGAATTTTTATAAACCGATTATTTAGCGCGTTGTAACAAAGTGTGCGCGGGCCCGTGTGCCCGCGACCGCCTCTTCGCGCTCGCGCTCTCGCCCGCGCGCCAGCGCCCCGGCCGGCACATCAAAGGGATGCCGGTTACATATACTCAGCCCCGGGAAATCCAATTCGATTCTGCATGAAATGAGTCTAGAAACTACGCGGCGCTCCGCTTTATTAATCCTGTCAGTCCGGAACGTGATTGAAAAATCCGAACCCGGAGCGTCCGCCGCTCTGTCCCCTCCCGCCCGCCCCTGGACCCGGAGTATCTCCCGCGGAGAATCTCCGGGGAATATTAAGGCCGATGCACACTTATCCGCGGCCTCGAGCGCCTCGGAAAAGTGCCCGGGAAATGAAGCGCTCGTTTTGACAAGTGCGAAGAGGAACGCGTTTGCCTCGGCTTAATCGGCCCGAGTCGGGGCCCCGTTGCGAGGGAAAAATCACTCGGTGGAGGCGCGGTCTCCCTCGTCTAGGGGATTTCTGGGGAAGTCTCTAGGAGGGATGAGGACCGGTAGGGGTTCTTCGGTATTCCGGATTTTCTCGCGACGTTTAATTCGATCGGCCCTCCCTAGGTTCCGGCAGGTTCAACCCTATTCCGGAAGAGAGGAAATTCCGGCGTCGATCCTCCCTCCCTACGTTCCCGCGGGCTTACGATATTACCCGGCCGAGTCCTCGCGGCATTTTCCGCGTCCCATCCTCATTAGGACATTATTATAATATTCTTTCCACTTTACGAACGCTCCCCGGGTCCGTCTTTTCTGCACAGGTAACCGTGCTTTCCATCCCGGCTCGCCCGGAATCTTCTTTATTCCCGGCGAGACCTTGTCCTCTCGCCCCCGAGAGAGTGAGATCGAAGGGAAACTCGAATCGAATTAATTTTTAATTGAATCCATTAAGCAGGCACTCTTGAGCTATAT